ACAACAATAAATAAGCAAATACTCGTACAGACACTATAAATTTATTATTTCAAGAAATTTTAGTTTTACACTTACTTTTTTTCTTCAATTTTCTATTCACGCGTTTAATGTCTTCTATACGTTCTCTTCTTTTAGTTCGCAAGTGCATGATAACATGTACCATTAAGTTGGCGGGCGTTATCTACAAAAAGAATTAAAAATGAGACAAAACATAAAACAATAAAGTCGGCTCATCTTACTCGCAAACATTTCAGGTTTCGTAAACGTACATTAGGGTCACACCCTGCGGCCTCTGCCAGTTCTCTTTGGGCTTTCGCCAACTCCTCTCGCCTTTCACGCTCATATTGAGCGTTCCTGGCGCGCTTTTCCTCCTGTAAACATGAAAATGTGGTTCATCTATCTATGTACGTACAACAAAACTGTAGAAAAGTGCTATATGTAGAAAAAACATCGCAGAGCCTGTTATTTACAGACATCTAATCTATGGTGGATGAAATTTAGGACAGAGATTATGGTTTGGAGTAACACATAGGCTGGGCACCTGGAAACTCTGGCGAAGCCGCTGTGAGAAGCTAGTTATATAACAGAAATTTAGACCAAAGTTATAAAATTTAAATTTCTATAATATCTATATACACACATAACATAAAACTACGCCTTTTATCCTCGAAGGGGTAGGCAGAGGTGCACATTACGGCCCTTAATGCCAGTGTACAATGTAACACCCACTTTTCACTATTTATGTTATGGCTCCCATGTAATAGGGGTCAGCCTATTGCCATACTGAGGTTTTTTTTAAAAACCCTGTACTACTTTCCCCGACCCAGAAATTGAACCTGAGACTTGTACTTGCGACCACTTAGTCTCCGAGGCAGGCATATACACACAAATGTCATAAAACCCATAAGAAACGAAACATTTTCAATAAACTTGTAAAAAATGTCTTTGATCATCACTATAGACGCGGACGCCCTGCGATATGTAGGTTTAGAGAGAAGTTCTAAGATGTCCAAATAAAGAACTTCTACAAGTTTTTACAAACGATTTTTTTTATACAAACCAAAGACAGTGGGGTGCGATTTGCACCACGGGGCCTTCCACGCTTTGGTCTGGTACTTTTGGAGTCGGTCGATGTGGATGGCTCCGGTTCTTGGCTCTGGCATGGCTGCTCCTGATAAAATAAAAAATCCGTTTAGATACATCTTTCAATTTCAATAAAACATTGATTTTACAAATAAATGAGACATACCTCGTTCAAGTTGTCTGAGTCTTTTACTGGATCCATTGCTATCGTACTTCTTATTCCTTTGTAAGAATACCTTGCAGTTGCAGTGTGCGTAGTCACCGAGTGAGTGCTGAGTAGCGAATGCAAAATTCGTGGTGCCTGCGCGTACGCAGGGTTGTGGGCGGGGCGTAAGAAACCGTTAGACCGCGGCGTTTGGTCGAAATGTTGGCGGTAACGAAATTTGAAAATTGGGGTTTTCGCTTGCAACAAATTTACCGCCGTCTAATTCATAAAGTAATGGAAAGTAATTTATTTGATATTAGTCACGAGTGCTTTTTTATTTAACATTTTTAACACTGGTTCTGTTTTATTCATAATTTGAAGTATATTCGAAGAAAAGAAGAAGAAAGGAAGCGTTCAGAACACTTCTTAATCTAATAGTTTCTTCTGATACTTTACTCAATAAAGTGTTGTAAAACTGACTATTTTACACTTAGTAAAATAACTATGCCTTTTACACTAAATTCCTCATTAAAGAATCACAATCACATTATATTATAATACGAATGCACTCATTATATTTATAATTGGTTACAACTTTTTATTATTTCTAATGAGTAATAAATCAATCGTTTTCTTGTCTCACACTTTCTTTGTTTCTTTCTAATTGACTTTGTAATTAGTTGAGAAATACCATGCGTTTATTTTAACTTAACGACACCGAAGGTACGAACAAAGTTACGTGGTATTTTAACACGAAGTATAAAGATAATTTCCAATGCAGTTGTTCTTTTTATGGAACAATACAAAAGAGCGATCCCCGAGTCAGAGATAAGACAGCACAATAGAAGTCTCTATTGTGCTGTCAATAGTTTCTATGTAATATTTATAGACAAGTAGTCGCCATTAGGATTGCTCTTATGTTTTGTTCTCATAATTCCAAAGATGTTAATCGAATATCTGCGTGACCCGTGAGAACTTCGCTCTGTTAGTGGTTCTGATGTAGCATGTTGCTGAAAATGATGATTTCGCAATTAATATCATAGGCACAATATGCATCAAAAAACGATCGTAACCAAACTGCTACGCCATCCTCTCACTTCTGCTACGGCGTAGCACTTGTGCTACGGCGCACCGTAGCCCTGTACTTTACTGATGTTCATATTGTTGTTTCATCATTTTATACTTGTTACAGTTGAAACCATTTTCAGATCGCGTGTATCTTAATTAAAATTAGGTTTTACTTATTACTTATTTGACTGCCTCGTTGGCCGAATGGTTGCAGGTGCGACTGCCGAGCAAGGGGTCTCAGATTCGATTCCCTCGATTCTCCCTCCAGTAATACTCGGGTTTTTAAAATTTGTCAGTAGTAGAACAGAGGCAGGAATCGTGCTCGGTAGATGGCAATGGACTCACCCCTTATTACACGGAACTCATCACATAAATAGTAAAAAAGGTGTCACATTGTACAGTGGCATAATGTACATCTCTGCCAACCCCTTTAGGGATTTCGCGGAGAACCTAACGGGTTACCGGGCTCCGGCTCGACGGGCAGGAGGAGGAACGGGGTCGTTTTTAGTCAGTAAGAGTCTGACACTCCCTTCCGCCTCACCCAGGCGGGAGCAGCCATTCGATGATTTCCCCCCCTTAAAGAAAAAAACCCTTTGGGGATAAAAAGCGTGATTTTATGTTATGGTATATTTTACTAAATCACTTTTTTAACTTATTTGTACATAATGTTATGAATCATTTTATTCCTATCGAATTAAGGTTAAATAAGACCTAATTTAACCTACAGATATAGTTGCGTCGATGCAATCTGTCAATGCAAAACTTCTATATCTGTAAGAAACTGTCAAACTACATTCCTGAAAGAGTTATTATTTTAAAGAGGTAAAAGTAGATTTGGTTTCGTTTTACATTCATTTCTTTTTATTAATACTTAACTCGAAAAAAGTGGCTTATTAAATAATATCTCTTTGCCAAGTATCTTTTTAAAAAAACTGGTTCCCTGATGTTGTGGTACACGTGTTAATGGTAGGTATTACTTTATTCATTGGTTTCCTGAGTGGAATTTGTTCGGCTTGATGGAATTCTATGTTACTACATAGTATCAACATCGAGTTCCCCGCGTACAAAGGCGGAGTGATAGCTAGAAGCATACACTAGTGTAAGTGCCGTGTGGCAGCGGACTTAGAGTAGCTCCACTAAACTACGCCCTTGCGAAGAAACGGACACCCTACCAGTTCTATATCATCGCCGTAGTGTAAGCAGCGAGCACCGAAAATAGAATAGCCTAGTAGTTAAACCAATGGGGTATTGACTCAGGCAGTTAGTTGTTGTTGAGGTCATTAGTGAACACAATTGCGAACAGTGCGACAATGCGATCGTTACTTCATTGGTAGAGACGTACGTATAGATTGCAAAATGAATCTTCAACATTTAATAATAACATGGTACATCACTAACCCGTGTATTAACTAGAGATCGATGTTATAATATTCGTGGTGTAGTTGAAAATTTTTAATTATTTGAACTATTAATCTATGAAATAGACAATCGTTTAGCAATCTATGACTTTCTTTCAGAAACAGTTCGCGTCTAAAAAAGTACAGTAGTGAAAAGTAAAGTTAATTAAAACATTCCTTTATGTGGTCACTGGAAGGTTAACACTGAACCAGGTTTTACTGAGTACTATTGTTAACTGAACGGTTAACGCATGTCTTTCCAGAAATTACGATTCTCAACAAATTTGTAAATAACAATCAGTTTTATAGAAATATGATTGTAGAGGTATTATTTAATTTTATATTTCTGAAACAATAATCTACACAACTTAGAACTTACACCCACTTAAAAGAGGCTCAAACATATGATACATATTGGTTCAATAAGAAAATGGAAATACTCAAACATTGTTTAATCAGTTTATTAAAGCCTATACGGATGCACGGACACACCCAGAGTGAGCAGACTTCTCGATAAATAAACTTTATTATCGCAATGTCCAGCCCAATCACGGTAAGTACTTCCACAAACTAGGCTCTGGGACTTTAGATGATAATAATCATTAATTAAGATTATGTAAAAAAAAAACGGCGCCATCATCAAATTCTCAACAGCAATCTTGCTACTTAATCTTACTCTGTTAAAACTATAAAATTATTTATGAGAGAACACATTCAGCAATTATTAAAATTACATGCATTTGGAGTCTCTCTTATGCCTATTTACGAATTGCCTCAAATAAACTATAACAATATAACTTTATTATAGAGTAATTTTGGACCATAGACACACTGTCTTATTTAGCTATTGTATATTGGATATCAGGGGGCCTAGAAAGGTAATATTGGGTAAAAAATTTCTAATATGATTCATTCGATGGATTGTAGGACAATCATCTAATCAGGACATCATGTATTTCTTCCGATTAAAAATTAATGACATTGGTGTGTTTGGTAATTTTAAATTAGGTATTTGGATTTTTTTTTTAATTAAAATAAAGAAATGACTTGTAGGCAATGCTATTTCGAAGTTTAATCTCGTCAAACTGCGTATGTGTCGAGCCAATAAATGAAAAATTTAAAAATTATTCAATATTTTTATTTAGGAGTCGGGAGCCTTCAGAACGATGTCTTCTGCCTGGAGTCTTCAATGTCCTATTTGATGAAGAGCATCGTAGATGTTCTCCAAGTCGTCTTGAGCTGAATAGAAAAAAATACAATAACAGATAAGTTGTATGTTGCAAATGCAATCAAAATATGACTAGCACTACATAGAAACGCTGCACAAATACGAATCTAATACTCACGCAATAATGAACTTAAATCTAGTTGCGGTGGTAGGTGCAATGTTGGTGGTGATCGGGGCTCCTGCTCTACTACTAAAAAATTCAAAACCGGTTAATTGTGTGTTACAAGTGCGACCAAACTAAACATTTTTCCTCCAATCAAATTTAATACTTACAGGAAAGATCTGGAAAATCTGCCTCTGTGGGCAATATTGACGGAGACGCAGTCTCGGCGGGCTCCTGCTCTGCTACTAAAAAATCAACATCCGTTAATTGTGTGTTACAAACGCGACCAAAATAAACATAGTTGCTCCAATACAAATTTAATACTTACAGAAAATATCTTCAAATGACACATCCTCAAACGATGGTAATGCCATGGCTTGGCAGGATGGCAATGTTGTTGGACACTGCATATCGGGATCCTGCTCTGGTACTAAAAATTCAACACCAGTTAATTGTCTATTACAAACGCGACCAAAATAAAAATAGTTGCTCCAATACAAATTTAATACTTACAGAGAAGATCTTCAAATGATACATCCTCAAACGATGGTAATGCCATGGCATGGCAGGATGGCAATGTTGTTGGACACTGCATATCGGGCTCCTGCTCTGCTACTAAAAATTCAACACCAGTTAATTGTGTGTTACAAACGCGACCAAAATAAACATAGGTGCTCCAATACAAATTTAATACTTACAGAAAAGATCTTCTAATGATATATCCTCAAGCGATGGTAATGCCATGGCATGGCAGGATGGCAATGTTGTTGGACACTGCATATCGGGCTCCTGCTCTGCTACTAAAAATTCAACACCAGTTAATTGTGTGTTACAAACGCGACCAAAATAAACATAGGTGCTCCAATACAAATTTAATACTTACAGAAAAGATCTTCTAATGATATATCCTCAAACGATGGTAATGCCATGGCATGGCAGGATGGCAATGTTGTTGGACACTGCATATCGGGCTCCTGCTCTGCTACTAAAAATTCAACACCAGTTAATTGTGTGTTACAAACGCGACCAAAATAAACATAGGTGCTCCAATACAAATTTAATACTTACAGAAAAGATCTTCTAATGATATATCCTCAAGCGATGGTAATGCCATGGCATGGCAGGATGGCAATGTTGTTGGACACTGCATATCGGGCTCCTGCTCTGCTACTAAAAATTCAACACCAGTTAATTGTGTGTTACAAACGCGACCAAAATAAACATAGGTGCTCCAATACAAATTTAATACTTACAGAAAAGATCTTCTAATGATATATCCTCAAGCGATGGTAATGCCATGGCATGGCAGGATGGCAATGTTGTTGGACACTGCATATCGGGCTCCTGCTCTGCTACTAAAAATTCAACACCAGTTAATTGTGTGTTACAAACGCGACCAAAATAAACATAGTTGCTCCAATAGAAATTTAATACTTACAGGAAAGATCTGCCTCTGTAGGCAATATTGTTGGAGACACAGTCTCGTCGGACTCCTGCTCTGCTACTAAAAATTCAACACCAGTTAATTGTGTGTTACAAATGCGACCAAAGTAAACACAGTAAGCAACAAATATAAAAACCCCAAAGCCTATTCTTACTATTATCATTTACTCCAATACCAATCTAATAAGTCATGCTAAAATGTCGTACCTGGCTGCGGTGTTGATGGCGCCACTTGTTCTGCCTGATCGCGGGCCAACTTTAGCTTTTTTACTACAATAAAACAACACTAGATAAGTAAATACTGGTACAAACACTACAAATTTATTATTTTAAGAAATTTTAGTTTTACACTTACTTTTTTTCTTCAATTTTCTATTCACGCGTTTAATGTCTTCTAAACGTTCTCTTCTTTTAGTTTTTAATCGCATGATAACATTTATCATCAAGTTGGTCTGCGTTATCTACAAAAGGAATTAAAAATGAGACAAAACATAAAACAATAAAGTCGGCTCATCTTACTCGCAAACATTTCAGGTTTCGTAAACGTACATTAGGGTCACACCCTGCGGCCTCTGCCAGTTCGCGTTGGGCTTTCGCCAACTCCTCTCGCCTTTCACGCTCATATTGAGCGTTCCTGGCGCGCTTTTCCTCCTATAAACATACAAAGGTGGTTCATTTATCTACTACGTACAATAAATCTGTAGAAAAGTGCTATGTGTAGAAAAAAACATGGCAGAGCCTGTTATTATATCGATTGCGAACTCCAAAATGTATATAACTTTTTGTCTGCTTGTCTGCGGGTTTGTACACTTTAATATTAAAAGCCGCTTACTTGCTTTAGATGCAGTCTTCACTGATGTACTGTTGTAAGAATCATTTGGTACTTCGTTCGTCTCAAGCGGTTCTTCAGTAAAATCGCAAGCAACAGACACAGCGAATATTTTGTTTTATTCTGTACCGATATAACTTAATTGTGCGACTCAATCCCTAAATAGAGTTACTGTATCTATGCAAATATAAGTTTGTCGAAAGTTAGGTTGCCCTCAGTAAACTCTTCGCTATAACTGTAGGGCCTATGGTCGAAATTAGGTTGAACCGATATTATTAATGTAAAAATATGCGGCTGAAGGGACCGGGATGAGATTTGGTAGGTACTATTATATCTATATACATACATAACATAACATCACGCCTTTTATCCTCGAAGGGGTAGGCAAATGTGCACATTACGGCACTTAATGCCACTGTACAATTTAACACCCACTTTTCACTATTTACCTCTATATTATGACTCCCATATAAAAGGGGTCAGTCCATTGCCACAAAGGTACCGGACACAATTCCAGATCCCCTGCGACTATTGAGATTTTTTTTCAATATCCTGTACTACTCTGCCCGACCCGGGAATTGAACCTGGGACCCGGGCAAAGGCCCGCCCGTCGCTCTTGCGACCACTTGGTTACGACGCAGGCAGGCACACAAACAAATGTCATAAAACCCATACGAAACGAAACATTTTCAATAAATGTATAAATGTCTTTGATCATTTCTATAGACGCGGACGCCCTGCGATATGTAGGTTCAGAGAGAAGTTCTAAGATGTCCAAGTAAAGAACTTGTACAAGTTTTTAGAAACGATTTTGTTTATACAAACCAAAGACAGTGGGGTGCGATTTGCACCACGGGGCCTTCCACGCTTTGGTCTGGTTCTTTTGGAGTCGGTCGATGTAGATGGCTCCGGTTCCTGGCTCTGGCGTGGCTGCTCCTGATAAAATAAAAAAACGGTTTAGATACATCTTTTATATTCAATAAAACATTTATTTTACAAATAAATGAGACGTACCTCGTTCAAGTTGTTTGAATCTTTTACTGGATCCATTACTATCGAACTCGTTATGCCTTTGTAAGAATGCCTTGCAGTTGCAGTGTGCGTAGTCACCGAGTGAGTGCTGAGTAGCGAATGCAAAATTCGTGCTGCCTGCGCGTACGCAGGGTTGGGGGCGGGGCGTAAGAAACCGTTAGACCGCGGCGATTGGTCGAAATGTTGGCGGTGACGAAATTTGAAAATTGCGGTTTTCGCTTGCAACAAATTGACCGCCGTCTAATTCATAAAGTAATGGAAAGTAATTTATTTGATATTAGTCACGAGTGCTTTTTTATTTAACATTTTTAACACTGGTTCTGTTTTATTCATAATTTGAAGTATATTCGAAGAAAAGAAGAAGAAAGGAAGCGTTCAGAACACTTCTTAATCTAATAGTTTCTTCTGATACTTTACTCAATAAAGCGTTGTAAAACAGACTATTATTTAATTTACACTTAATAAAATAACTATGCCTTTTACACTAAATTCCTCATTAAAGAATCACAATCACATTATATTATAATACAAATGCACACAATGTATTTCTAATTGGTTACAACTTGTTATTAATATAATGAGTAATATCAATCAATTATTTCTTGTTTTCATACTTTCTTTGTTTCCTTCTAATTGACTTTGTAAGTAGTTGTGAAATACCATGCGGTTATGGAAACTAAATAACACCGAAGGTACGAACAAAGCTACATGGTATTTTTACACGAAGTAAACGTTCATTTCCAAAGCATTGCCACAAAATGCGTCAAAAAGCGATCGTAACCAAACTACTACGCCAACCCCTTAAATATGCTACGCGTAGCAAGTGTGCTACGGCGCACCGTAGCCCTATACTTTACTGATATACTGTTGTACATTTCTCAATGTAGTGTCAAGTCTCGATTTTTACTGATTTTTAAAAGACTACAAAAAGGCATGACGTAACACCACGCCTTTTATCCCCGAAGAGGTAAGCAAAAGTGTATTTATTGTCACTGTACAATGTAACATCCACTTTTCACTATTTATGGTTTGAGTCCCATGTAATAGGGGTCAGCCTCAAGCCATATTAGGTACCGGAATACCAGATTTCCCTGCTACCACTAAGAATTTTTAAAAACCCAGTAGTACTTTGCGCGATCCAGGAATTGAACCCGAGACCCCTTGCCGGCAGTCGCACTTGCGACCACTCGGCCAACGAAGCAGTCAAAAAAGGCGTTTCTCAGTTTTATTTATGTATGCATGTTTGTGGCGAGGTTCTGGCGTATCTCTTGTGCTTCTCCGACGTTCATTAATTTCTTCATGAATGCTCGTTTATTGAGGGTAGTACACGAACGTGGTGTGTTTGTCTTTTTACGAGAAATATGATTGAATTAAGTTTCTATTTAATTACGATTGTAAAGAAAATCATACGCAATAAAACAGGCATTAACTAGTGCATATATTACGAAATGCTGTTTGTAGTATGTTATCACTGTTGAATTGTGTTATCACGAATGTAAATTTTAGTCTTTGATCAATAATAATTGACTTGTAATCAAGGAACAATAAAAAATGTGATTGACTAATAAGTGAATAATGAAATTGATCATAATTATTAAAATTTTCTGAATAGGTACTGAAGGTATTCATAAAAGAAGCTCAAATTCAAAACAATTGTTTCTGTTCATGAAAAAGCAACAGAACCAAGTTCCCGCGACTTTTTCTTATCTGATCCCGGACGTGACATAGAAACAAACCTGATGAGTAATAACATCTGGGGTACATTTCCTCGAACAAGTCAGCTCATGTGCGATGCTTCAGGGCTTAAAGAGATTAGAGGTTCGAACTATGACAGGTTTAAATCACTGTCAATCACTGAGTCGACTGTAAAAAAGGTTTTAATACCACGAGGTAGCGCGGCCACCATGGTACGGCGTCGCGTCGTCTTAGCAACAATTTACCTAATAATAGTTTTGGGATTCTTTTGTGTGAGGAGGTAAAAATATAAGTTTAGAATGAATAAAACAAAAGCTTGTGTTCCATGAATGTGCCCGCATGTCTTAAAACAATTATTCATTCAAAGAAACATTTGTGCTGCTTATCTCAATATCGCTAGGTAACATAACTCTTTTATTCAGAAACAGAACCATTTTCCATTTTTAACTTTTGTCTGTTGTTTTAAAAAGGTTAGTTAATACCGGTCGTGCCATTAACCAATGAATGAATCGAATGAATGGTGCTAGAGGTAATGCAACTATCGATTATTGTAGGGCTTCACTGATCGTTTTGACTCTTCCGTTTCTGTTTTTACCCATACGGGAATCGGTTTATTAATATTTATGGCACGTATCTATAATACGATCAATAAAAATTATCCAGTATAGTAAGTAATAACTTACAATTACGTTGTAAAATAGTTCGTTTGAAAAGAAATTTGTGAACTAATATTATACAGCTATATTATTATTACCTACATGAACAATATGCACCGCCAATAAAACAGAAAATGCTGCCTAATCCGGGCAAGTATTTACAACTCTTTAGAACGGCGGCAAATTCCAAACAGTTTCGCAGAAAATATGTCAAAGTCAAAGCATTTATTTCAATTAAATCATAATTTGGTACATTTGAAACGTCAACAAATACAAAATAAATAATCTGTATAAAATATAAAATAGTCTGTCAGTCAGTCCGTCAATGAAGCTAAGTGAAGCTAGGTGCTCATTCCAAAATGTAGATTCGAATGGAGAAGAACGTGCAAGAAACTCCATTCGTTACACTTTTTAAAAAAGTATGTTCTACAATGTCTCTGATACATATTTCAATATTGTACGCATATGTAAGAACAATGCAAACAGACGCTTGACGTATTATACTAATAACTTACTAAAATAAGAAATAATAAAAATCTTATAGTCTAACATGGTGCTCACATATGCATACTGACAATCCATAGAAATAGTGCTTCTATACAAGAAAAAGGACACTCTTTGTTTCAATAAAGAAAGAAATGCTGGATACCATAAGGAAACTAGATTGTCTACATTAGAATTAAAGTATTGATTTATGATTATGGTCATTATCTACTATCTACTTCCAGGCGGTTTTTGCAGTGGTTATTGATGATAGCGTGATGTTTCATAGCATGTAGCCTTCTTCGATAAACTTAGTATGTAACATGAATAGAATTATTAAATTCGAACCAGTGATACTGGAGCTTACGGTACTAGCTACCTACTTCCGCGCGCTTTGACCCGCCGTCTCTATTGACGATGTTTTACAGCATACGACTAGCCTTTGGCGTTATATAATATCCTTCTTCAATAAATGGACAATTCAACATACAAAGAATTATTTAATTCGTACAAATGATTTCGGAGATTAGCGCCTTCAAACAAATTCAATCAAATAAACCAATCAACGATTTCTGAAACTACATGAAGATAAGTTACTGTTTGAATTCATTGTCCCTCTCACCTCTCAACACGCCTCAATCTCCGAGGGAGTAGGCAGAGACGCACATATGTATGTATCACCCACTTTTTACCAATTATGTTACGGAACCAATATATTAAGTGTTGAGCCTACTTACCATGTATACCGGGTACTATTCTAGACTTTAGTGCTGAAAAATGTCCGAAATAGATAGGAAATAATACAATACTCAGTCTGGAAATTGAACCGAAGACCCTTTGCTCAGCAGGCTCGCTTGAGGCCACTCGACCAATTAAGTAATCTATGTAGTTAAAATTAATCTTCATTTATTGGATGACAGGTATAATTTGTAAACGCATTAATATACCAACATTGCTTAAGCAGCTCATTAAAATCGACCACATTAATAATTCTTATTCTGCTTAACGAACGGTGTCATTGTTAATTCATTAAAACTCATTATTAAAGTTCATTAAAAACCAATTTATATATTGTTTTTGTAAAATTAGGAATCTAGTAAGGAGTTTTTACGTTTACGTACATACATAATCTTATACCATTTAATGAGTAAATCTATTATGTGTATGAATCAACGATATTGGAAACAGTTTCAACGATTTTCTTGAAATTTTGTATTTGGGGGTTCGGGTGCGACTAGCTTAACATTCAGAACACGTCGTTGACTAAAAAACAGCGAGTAAAGCTCGGAAGATGACAAAGTTGACTTCTTATGGTTATTACAATATTGCGTTCCCAATTTTATCATAGATTTTACTAAAATTTAATGTTTCCTGACAAACAAAGAAAAAATAGAAATCGTTCATGGGTATTGCTGTAACTAAAATAAATTGCCATTAATTAAATAACTTAGATTGATGTACGTAGATGCGAAAAATGATTTTAAAGGATGTTCAATTACATGTACTTCAATTTAGAACCGCTAAATTTTTTCTGGAGCAATTTATCAATATGATAAATCGTCGAGGATGGTGCAAATCCGCGAATCTACTTAAAGTAAAGGTTTCTGCAATAGATCCAGTTTTACAGACGAAGTTATGCTATTGTATTGTTGTTTTATAATAATATGTCTACATTGTTTTATCTGCAAATGGATAGCGCACATGTTCAATTTAACACATACTTTTCTGGAGTTATAATTGAAGTCTCATGTGATGGAATTTAATTCATTTGTATACATAAATTTCATTAAAAAATCAGCCATTTCCATTACGTGCATATTATAGTCATCTAAATCAAATAAAAAAAGGAGTCGCATATTCCTCCCAGTGGGGTGTGTAATACCTAAACATGTGTCTCTGTCCGTTCGCTTTCGGTTTCGGTTTCGGCCGAGTAACGGCCAAAAATCAAGTTTCGGCGGCAGTTTCGGCTTCGGCCAAAATCGGCCGTAACTATTGCCGAAACCCAAAGTTATGTCGCATGTTCATGCACGTTCATGCTCGCCTAACTTAGTTACCGTGTCAACCCTTTGACGGACGCTGTCGGCCCTGTTCGGGAACGGTCAGGAACGGGCGTACGCCTTTCAAGTCAAACGTAAAAAGAGATTGTAAATGAAAAATGTGAAGAGTCGACTTCGTTCGCGTGAAAATATTTATATTTCTTGTTATTTTTAGACCTTTTTGAGGGGACAACGTGTTGATTGGCGAGATGTATTGCGAGAGCGAGAGAGAGCGAGAGATTTAGAGAGCTAGTGCAAAACGGAAGGTTTATTGTCTACTCAAGATGGCG